ATCGTATATCCCAGAGTCTTGCCTGAGATTGCCAGTCCATCTCGGAGACCCCACAGAGTCGGAGATTGGGAGGCACCCCCCTCGAGGATGGGCGACTGCAGTCGGTTCGTCCTGGGGCCGCGCTCGCCGCGAGCTCCACCGCAGCGCCTCTCGGAACGAATGCGGAGTGCTCTCACGCGTGACTGGTGTCGCGGATGGCATGACAATGGACACTCTAACAATCCTATCGTTGAATGAAAAACGTGTTCCAAATGTGTAAAGCATGTTCTGACAATGCTTCAAACATGTCTTTACATATTCAAAACATGTCTGAAACATGTTGCAGACGTCCGGAAACTATTTGGCAGCATCCTTCCTCTCCATTCATCGACTTCCACAAGACTGGTGCACCGCCAGAAGCTGCAAAAGGCTAGATCCGACGGCGTGCTGCAAACTCATAAACAGCAGCGGAGAAAGGGAGCGCCGTGTCGGTTGCTGACACGCTCGCGGAACGAAAAAAAAGGTGCAGCGCCTCTCGGCGGGGGGCTCGCACTGGGCGGGCGCGGCCGCTGCATGGGCGACCCGCGGAGGCCGTCGTCGACGCCGCCGCCGCCGTCGACGGAGCCGCCGCCTTCAGGCATGCGGGCTGGCTGCCAGTCGGGTCGGGCGAAAGGGGGGGATAGCGAAGGGAGGGTTTGAGAGTCAGCTCACGCAGCTGATTTTCCCGGCGCCTCCCGGCGCCAGAGGCGGCTGTGTATCGAGGAATGGGCCCCTCGGTGAGGCCGAAACCAGCTACATACAGCAAATCTTATAACCCCCCTTTCCCAATCCACCCCTTTCGTCCGGCCCGAGCCAGGGCACGCGGGGTGACGCTGGAGTGCGAGATGACGTGCTCTGAGCCCCGAAGGGAGGCGGCGAGGAGAACGCCCAGCTCTCACGGCAGGGTGGGACAGGGCTGAACCTAAACGGTGTTTTTCGATTTCGCTTTGTTTTCGCTTCCCCTCGCTTTTGTCTCGCACCCGCCCTGAGCGCAAAGCGGAGTCGAAACGAAAACGGCCCACGACATCACCAAAAACACCGCTTAGGTCCAGCCCTGAGATGGAGTGCTCTGAGCCCCGAGGGGAGACGGCGAGGAGAATGCCCAGCTCCCAAGGCGTGGAGGGACCGCAGCCGCGGCCCCCGCCGTCGGCCACACGCTGCCGCCGCCGTGCCGGCCGTGCGCGCGGCAGGCGCGATCTTCGCGTCTCGTGCCAGCCAGTGCGAGCGGCGGTTCAGAGACGGCGCCCTGAGGAATGGGACAAAGAGGATGAGGGCCTCAAGGAGTTCAAAAATCAAACCTGGGGGGCGCCTCCCTCAGGGCCCCATTCCCCCAAGGCCCCCTCTTGGAACCGTCGATCTGGTGGTCGCCTGCGCACGGAAAAGGCTGGGCAGGTGCGCCTCGAGCAGGGGGCCATGATTGGGCACCGGGGACGCCCGGAGTTCGGGTGCCGCCGGGAGCGCCCCTGGCCGGAGATGTCCCCGACACTGCGCGCCATCCTGGAACCCCCACGGGGCCCGCTGGGTCTCGCGAGCGGCGCTCGGGAAGCCGCCGGCGCCTCCCCGGGAGGGCCGGGGCCACCCC